TTTTCCTTAAATAGGACCACCTGCAGCCTATTACGCCTCTCCATATGTGGTGTGAAAGTGTGATAGATGGAACACCCAGAAGGGGAGTGACTCTTGCTGAATCACTTAAGGCACCTCACATGGGCATCCAATACCGGGAAGATGGTTGGGCAGAAAGTACATCCCTTAAAGCCCGGATTCTTCTTCATCTTCTTCTGATCTGTCACCCCATAGAAACAAATCTGAAAATTAACTTAGCTGACTGTAACTACTAACAAATTATTTATACTAACACTAAAAATTTATGACCCCAATAGACTAAAATAGGAGAAAAAAAGCCAGATCCAAAAGACCAGAGTGGTTCACTTCCATCTGGCACAAGTGGTTGGAAGGAACTGAGCTAGTGCCCCCTTATATAGCCTCAGTGCCCGTTTATATACCCTTGCCCTCAGAATGTTCATGAACACTGAGGGGAGGTATAGAAAGGGGGCGCACATGTGCTCTAACCAGCACTGCTGGGAGAAGGGGCTCTTGTTAGATTGTATCAGTTGGTGCCTTACCCATTAGTGGGAATATGCAGAGCCACTCAAAAAACAATAAATTTATAAGATAATTTTAACCCTTACTGTATACTCTTACTCTATGGAGTAAATCATCTGGTTTCATTTTAATCACGAGATATTTTCCTCTCTTTTCCCCAGATAGTGGTTAATTATATTATATTACCTTAGCATTAGCAAACCCCCCAGAAACCAAAACCAGCATGTTTGACAAAGCTTTTATCCCCTTAACAGCTAATGGAGTAAAAGAGGTTTGCAATGTATGTATCCACCTTGTTTCTGTTAGTCCAGGGTTTAAAAATGTTATTATTTTTCATTTCTAAAATCTCTGTGAAATTGCTTTGTATAAACCATGGAACATTTGAAACATTTAAATAAAAAGCTATAGCTTTCAATCCCAACCTGAGAGCAAAACTCCACATCCAAGTACATACTTTGATTGTGTTTATAACTATTACAAAACCAAAAACAACACAAGCTATTCTATATTAAGGAAATATTTTTATGCTTGCTTTATTACTTAAATATATTTCTCCTAAAATGTTTTTATTAAATTTCATCCAATGAGTTTTCAAGCAATTTTCTCTCTTGCAATAAATTACTTCATTAGTATTCTAGATGGCTTGTCCTCATACAGTTTTTCTTCACTGCCACTGAGGGATATGTATGTATTATTTTATTATTATTAGCAGTAAATATTCATATTCTGATAGTACTGAAATGCCTCAGGTCCCAGGTGCTTGGTACTGTACAAACACACAAAAGAAACAATCCTTGCCCTGAAGGAATTACCCATCTAAAGCAGATGTGGATTCAACACACAAGCAAATGAGCAAGGTGGAGAATTGGCAGAATTTGTTTGTTACACGTATTTTAAGTTCTTTTGTTTACTTTTTTTTTGGTTTGTTTTAAACTGAGGTTAAAGGAGGGGAACTGGAAAAGACAGAAGGGGCAGAGGAATAGTCACAGGTTGTCAACTGTCTGTCTACGATTAGCAGGCTGAGTTTTGTGTGCATCATGATAGAGACAAGTCAGACAACAATTGCTACTAGAAGGAGCTAAATGTACTTGTCTTACAGTTTAGGAAATACCATCTGCACTTAATTCTCTCTGACACCCCAAATCCCTCAGACTGCAGGAACAATTGAAGATGTGGAGAACACAACTCTAGCTTCAACTGACAGCAGTGCATCAGCCCCTTATTAATTTTGAGATATTGATTTTTCATTTTACTTTTTCTTCCCTGGGTTTTGAACTGACTCTAATGAAAGGGCTAAAGTCTGCTGCTGTCAGTGTCTTCCTCATTTGTCACAATCACATGTAATTACACTTTACACATGCTGGGTGAGACTGAGTCCAGCCTTTATCCATCCTTCTCTTTTTACACCCACAATTATTTGTGGACATAACTTAGATCATCATGAGGTACTTAATCTGCTAACTAAATTAAAATGTGGTTGTAAATAACTTTGGCCATAAAATTGCATCTCTCTGTGTTCCTTCTGAAATGTAATGAATCCCCAAACTATGTTTTCATGTATGGGGCACTAATCATTTCAAGCTAACTTGTTACAGTCTGGCAATATGTTGAACGCCTATTTAAGGTTTGTCCATGCCTAGACACATCCAGTATTCAAAATGCAGTTCTCATGGAGGATCAAATCATTAGTATTAGGTCTATGGAATACACCAGAGATTGGCAATGTTTGGCACATGGCTTGCCAGGGTAAGCACCCTGGCGGGCCAGGCCAGTTTGTTTACCTGCCGCGTCTACAGGTTCAGCCGATCGCGGCTCCCACTGGCCGCAGTTCTCCATTCCAGGCCAATGGGGGCGGTGGGAAGGGCGGCCAGCACATCCCTCGGCCCGTGCCGCTTCCCGCAGCTCCCATTGGCCTGGAGCGGCCAACCGCGGCCAGTGGGAGTCGCAATCGGCCGAACCTGCGGACGCAGCAGGTAAACAAACCAGCCTGGCCCGGCCCACCAGGGGCTTTCCCTGGCGAGCTGCGTGCCAAACGTTGCTGACCCCTGGAATACGCCACCGGAACTCTGATTCACTGATCTATGCTTGAGGTCTTTCAGGGAGACTTAGGAGAAACTTAGTGATTTTAGTTTGCCCTGGATTCAGGAAAACCTTTTCATTTTAGTTCATGTAGATTCATACACCATTACATTTTGCTTTGAGTTAAGCATTTGAACAAACCAAATAATTCCTAATCTAACTCAGCTGAAACAGTTGCATGCTAATTACAGGTCAAAACAACTGAGTTACCAATGATTTCCACTTGAAACCATCAGTGAGCCCAGATTGACTCAAAACTCAGCTCAGATTTACCAAAATGTTAGCAAGATGGGCTTGAATTTTTGGTCTGCAGTAAAATGTGAGAGAGCCATACAATATAGATATTGAATAATATTATTAGTTACAATACTTAAAATAATGTATGCATGCCAATGACTCCTTTGCTGCAGCAAGCAAAACACCCAAAATAATAAAGATGTTTTCTATACATCACATAATATGCATTTTCAGAATGAGAAAACTACTAATCACAACCTCTTGGGGCATAGGTGAAAAAGAAACTTCCTTCCTTTTTGTGATCTGCTTTACTCTTGGTCCTTTATCTTGAGAAGCAGGGGCTCATGGTTTTAGATACAGAGGTGAGGATTAAATCCCCACAGACAGCCTGCCCAGGAGCATCATCACAGGTGGTGGCCCTTATGGCGGTTTGAACTGCTGTAGACCTCAGACATTTGGGATGAGGTTGTCTGGCCAGAGTGAATACCACAACCACACTTGTAATGACACCACTGTCATCTGGATCTCAATGCATGAGCCTATACTTTTTCAGCTAAAGGGCCAAGGATAAACTTTTCAAAAGCATATAAATGACTTAGGAGCCTGTCACATTTTTCAAAAAAAACTTAGGCACTTTGGTTATTCATATAGCTTTATTCCTATTTTTCAGTGGTCGAACTAAAAAAGTAAAATATATATTTTGGGTCAAACAAAACGTGTTTTGTTTTCAAAATTTTTATTTTGTACCTTTTTGAAAAAATAAAAGTGAAGTAAAATTCAAAAGTTGAAGTGTTTCATTTCAAAAATGTCAAACCAAAACATTTAGAAGCATGCAGATTTTTTGAAAACCCCACTTGGTGCCTATCTGCATCTTAAGGTACTTAGATACCTTTAAAAATCTGGCCCTACGTTATTTTTGAAAATGGTATTTAACAGTTTAAGGCTTAGAGGCACTTTAGGTATTTTTACCCCAAGTCCATTAGTGTAGAATCAGGAGCAGTCTCAATGTATGAAAGGGATTAGCTATGAACTATTGTCTAGAGAAGCAAACTTAAATTGAATTGACATTTTAGTAACTAATTCTCTACATTCTTAGCTTCTGAATTGCTTTTGGTTGAATGGTCACGACAGTCCCATAACCTTTGACTGGTAAACAGTTTGTCTGGATGCCATATTAAGGATCCATAGTTCCATATTGGTACAAAAGTCACTTTCCCAGAATAGTACAGAATTAGAATACATTTTCCACTTTGTCACTTTGTGATCCAGCTGATCATTCCTGGATAAATTTGAAACCTCTATGTTAAATACATTCATTTACATTTTGTCAGCAATATTATATGACCCTCTTCATGAGGCTTTGGTAATTTCTTATTTATCTATGAAGTCTATTTTGAAAACATATACATTTATAAGAAGACTTCAGTCTGTACTTCAGCTTAAGCAGCATGAAGTTCAACACATTAATGAGACATGGTATGGGTAAGTGGTTAATTAATGTAATTTCACTAATGAACATTTTTAATGTGGTATGTATACTAATTTTCTATCAAATATTTACAAACATCCTAACTGGGATTTTAATGATGGCTTGGGTTTCATTACAGAAGTTGTTCACAGATCTTTTTGAGGCTTTTTATATGCTTGCTTCTTACTTGGGTATTTAGCGGACTTACTGTTTGATTGGAAATAAACATAATTGTTTCCATTCCATTATTCTTAGATAATGGGAGTATTGAAAGCCAATGGATGAAAGGCTCTCTGTGAGAGGATGTGAGGTTCTAGGGTCTTGCATGAACGCACAAGACTACTCTGCTGGTATCCATACCTTGTGGGTCTTATAAGCTCCATTTCAGGAGGATAAAAGGTGCAAAGTCTCTAGGGAAAGAAAGGGGTTGGGGTGAGGAAATCTTGCAAGGAAAAAAGAATCCTTCAATGTTCATCTCGGGCTGATTTTTATTTTTGTTGTTCCTAAGTTCAATATAAAGGGAACCCCTCTAAGGGGATGTGTGAAAACGTTTTTTGTTTTTTTACATTAACCCAGTGGGCATTCTGTATTGCGTGTGTGGTGAATACTCAGCTCATTCATACTCCCAAGGTCTGACTGACTTAGAATTAGACACTACTTCTATGGTAGTCACATTTGTCCCTTCCTTAAGACTTACTTTCATCTCCAGTTTCAAATTCAAACTTCTGGCTATAGCCGCTGTATCCTGCTGCAGTCCTGACTCTGATATGAAATATATACTTGGTGGCTGGCTTGAGACCTGTGATGATAACACTTGGAGCCTTGGACCTTGTGGAGGAATAGCTGAGCTGCTCATGCTCCTGATGGACAGAAGAGGGGAGAAATGATATCAAGTTGAGTTGTGCAAACTTTGTAATAACAATAGTCCAAATAGAAAGCTCTGCTTTTTTCTTATGAATGTAAAAAATTTTCATAAAAGGAGGTGCAGGTATGAATTCTGGTACTCTGATATTGTGCTATCATCACAATGTATGACATGACGTTAGATCAGAAATACTTTAAGAAATTTTGCTTATTCTTTCATACAATGCATATTGTACCTTTGTGATTTGGGTTAGTAATTATATTGTAGTCAAAATAATATAGTATTAATATATGACTACATTCACAGAAAATGGCAGCTGAAATGGCAGCTACATATTTTGCACAATGGACAAATTAGAAGTTCAGTAAGTACTAGTAAAGTGTAAAGATGTGGGAGTATTCAAATACCCGCTACTCACTTCTACCCGCAGGTAGTGCCAAAATGCCGGCGCTATCCGTGGGTAGGCCTGTAGGTAAAAGAAAATATAGATTAACTTTTTTTTAGTTCGAAAACTTCTAGCATGGTTCAACTGCTTTGTTGTTGCTGAACTTAATTTTTCTCTCCAGTTAGCTGTAATGTGATTGTATATAAATTCCCTGGCACACTATAATGAAAAACATTCTTTGCAGAATTCCCATGTTAAGTATTTTCCAGACGATTCTGGGAGTTGTTGAGAACCCCCAACTCCTACTGAAGTCACAGGGAGTTACAGGTGCTCAGCACCTCTCAAGATCAGGTCTTTAGTAGAAAGGTTCACTCTATCAGATTGCTGCACAAACTCAGTAATAAGTAGTTTTGCACACAGAGCATGCTGGTGATAGTTCCATATTTTTAGGACACAGTGAGGGTGTGATATAACAGAGCAGAGAGTTATTTCATTAGTTACTGCCATTCCATAATTCAGTAATCTGTAATATTTTACACAATGCCTGCAGGTCACCTTTATTGTGCTAAAGAATGTCTCATCTACAATTCAGGCTGAAGCAGAACTGTTCATATTCTCGATAATATAATAGCAGTACTCACAGGGCACCACAAATGTATACATGCACTGATATTATGCTACGTGCTATATTAAGTTATTCAAAAGTTGTTTCTAGCTTGTTAATGTGGAGAAGATGCAGCAGGGAAAAGAGCAGCTTGCAGTTACAATGCAGAAATTTACTACTTTTGAGCAATATACATATGCTTTTACATGAAGCAGGACATGGCAAACATATTAAGCCAGATTCATCCCTGATGGAACCTCACTGAGTTCAATGGAGTTACCCCAAAGATGAATTTAGCATCAATGCTTCCACTACAGCAAAATCAACTAACTAAACCACATCAGGATTTCACACAGATAAGTGTTGGTATTTGGGGTTGGGGAAACATCAACCAAAATTTAAGATTATTACAACCAATGCCCACTGTTCAAATTCTGGAGATAATTTGAGAAACTGTATTAAGAGAAAATCCTCAAGTTGCTACTTATTTAAAGCAGACTGTTATTAAGTTTTGAAATAACAACCAATGCTACATAACATAAAAACAAAATATGTAGCATGTAAAATATATATGTACATATGGAGGGAGAATACAGATAATACAAATAAACAACAGAATTTTAAAAACTGATAGAATGGTACTCTATGGTATCAAAAGGCAAAAGGATTCTGCTAAATCTCACACACATTTTAACCATTTTATTTAGGTCAATTTTGTGACCCCTAAACTTCCATTTTCTAGGAAGTTTGACAAAATTGTTTATTTTCCCTTCAAGAGAGGCAAAAATGCTAATTTTGTTTTTCAAAGCTGCAGAATAGAGTCACTTTTTGTTTGATTGGAAAAACAGTAGTTTCTCTGTACCAGCTTAGGTCTCTGGTTCTTAAGGCCTGTGATGATAACACACAAAGCATTGGCTACCAGGGACTCTCTCAGCTTTATCCCCAAGGACATGGAGGAGTTCAGTGGACAATATCACATAGTAATATTATGTATTGTCTTTTCCAAGAATTTCTGAAGGGCTTGAGGTACATGTGGGTGTGGAGCAATAGAGCAAATTTTGTGCCCTGATCTGCCCTGTCCACAAAGCATATGCTTGCATGGAGGAGCACAGGATTACAGAGGGGCTTTTGGAAGAGTCCATAATAGGGGGGAAATAGTGCTGCGGAAATGTCAAACCCTTTTGCTGGAAGAGATAAAAGGCATGCAAATGGTCTCCCCTCTGTATATGGATCAGGGTCAATATGCAACAAGTATAGTGTTCCTTCATGTTAACAGTAACACTTCACTGTAGTTTTCAGGCCATTTAGGATACTTATCAGAAACGTATTTAGGGAGAACACACAGGCTGAACGTGTGAAGAGGTAAATACAGTGTAAACCAGAAAAGTACTTAATGCTAGCTCACAACCAAAAATATGAAGTTATGGGCCTCTAAGTGCTCCTCTCCATAACAAATTTAACTTGGCCAAAATATACAAGGCAAAAATAAACTAACCCAAAACCCCATTAATGGCACTATAATAGTGCTATTGCACCAGAATAAATAGTTTAAGACTGTTCAGAATCTTAGGTAGAAAATATGCTATCAACCATACATGTGATACCTTTTACTCTCTCTTTATTTCTAAGGAAATCTTCTCTCACCAAGTAAGAACATATGAACATAAGCGCTACCATACTGGGTCAGACCATGGTCCATCTTTCCTAACCCCCCAGGCTGCCCTGGACCCCACGTCCCCCTGAAGCACGGGGCCCCGGGCGGTTGCCCTGGTCCGTCCTATGGACGGGACAGCTGTGAAAATATAAACCCAAACATTGATGGAGCCGGGCCCATGTTCCGGAATATTGGTGGAGTATGGGTACCACGGGTCCATATAACTCGCCGCCTATGACTGTGATTCAAAATTTTCAAATTTGTGCGTGCAAAAAGAATTCATTGAGACAATAACTGGACATTTACATAAGCAGTCAGCTGTTCTATTTGCTAATGTGGGTTGGATCCACTGTGTCTTTAAATTATCTTCCTTTAAATTATATTCTCCCTACTCAGTACTGTCAAGGCACTATACACTATTGTATATATATAAATACTAATAGAAGCACTATAGACCATGGGGGCCATCATTTTCTCCTGAGTACAGGTCACAATGTCAGAGCTGAATAAATAATATGTTATAGTAAAGAATAATATTACAGGGTTCTGCCACTTATAGTATATCAATGTTTATTTAAACTCAATGAATGATGAACACAGAAAAGTGTAAAAGAGCAATCTAATATTTTCTCCTTTCCTGCGTGTATCAACCTGATGAATACATGTAGACATGGTTGTTGAGAGACGCAGCAGTATCTAAAGGAATGACTTAAACCTTGGGAGCAAGGAACGCCTATTAATCACATCTCTGTGGGCATGGGAAAGGGCAACCTCACATCTCTTCTTCAGTTTCCTCATCTGTAAATTGGAGATAATGCTACTTAGCTACCTCAAAAAGGTGATGTGAATTTAATTAGTTAACATTTTCATAGCCTTAAAATACAGCACATACTTGTGACAGATGTGACACCTTGGGAGCAGAGAATTTTCAAAAGGCTGTTATACTGGGATGTGCCAGATGCCATAGGCACTGGGATTAGTAACAAACTTGTGTATCTATGAATATTATATGTAACTCTGGGCACTAGGGATTGTATACTAGCTTCACAGCAAGTTACCAAGCTTCCACAAGGAACTAAAACAAGTGAGGAGTAATTACTGCAGATCTCGAGAGAGGGAAACAACTCCAGAGAAGAACCTTCCCCTGGGATGAATTGCATATGCTGGTTCAACCCAGTTCAAGAGGGCCAGGAGACAAACAAAGATCTTGTGATATCAAGGGCCAGCCTGAACTGTTGGAGGGGACCCTCATTTTGATCCAAAAACTGACCTGAGAATGTAACCAAAAGGGCACAACCCTGCTGGAAGGATGTGAAGAACTGGACCCTTCCTGGGTCTCCATTTGGAAGATGGCTGACACGTGGTAAGCTTAGCATGCAGGGAGACTGTTTATTGGTTTATGACAAGTTTTTTCTGTAACGATTTGTCCTAAAATAAATGTACTAGGTTTTGTGAAAGCTGCTGGTCACTGGGTACCATGTGTATTTTTTTATTTTTGTTTGGTTTTTGAGCTATAACCGTTTAGGTGCCTGAAATATTGAAGTGTGCTTTATCACTTTGGCCATTCAGTACTTTTATATTTTGATTGTCTGTCAGTCAGTTCATCACTCTTTCCATAGGTAAGCAAAGCTGTCAGCAGGAAAGGGGTAGAATGGATAACCAATCTAAAGAAAATACAGATAGGTCAGAACCCAGCCAAACATCACTTTAATTGGATTATGTACCAGGAAAGGCTGAGGTGAAGTGAGGTGAGCCATGAACAGGAGAACATAAAATGGAGAGAGAAGGGGACAGGGTGACTCCAAAGGTGCTTGAAATCTCACCAGCACAATGAATGATGTGGACAAAGTGAGAGAGGGTGTGTTATTAAAGATTAAATAATATGGAGGGCCAAGAAGAAAACAGGGTATAAGGACATTAGATAAGATATTATAAATCACATTGACAAGGTGACCACACTGGGAGGAAGAAAGTTAAATCTATGCCTTAAATCAGTTATGGAAAATCTGGAATCAGAATACAGTAAAGGGGGTGGGGCATGTGTCTTGAAAATGCTAGGCTAGCCTGCATATTAAATCCCTCGTCTCCAACACCCATAAAATATTCTAGTCATGCGTCTTTTCTAATTTAAAATATTTACTAAAGAAAACTTTTGAATCAACATTTTAAAGACCGCTCTTAATTTTGGCAGGCCAAAAAGTCAGAGACATTAGCAGTATTGCCAATCTCAACATCTGAATCAAGCACCCCAAATCGTGAGAATGGTTTATAAAAATCTGAGATTAAAAAACAAAATAAAACAAAAATCATTTGAGGTTCTTTTGTTTGTCTTCCAGTTTTTAAAGCCTGGACGTCATGTTTTCATGCTTTTCTTTGCACCCATGAGGGCTAAAAATATTTTTCTTTAAATGAAAGCTCAGATTATCACATTCACAAGACTGCAGGAGCTGTGGTTTTAAGCATAACACCAATTATCATGAGATTCACGATAAAAATCATGAGAGTTGGCAACATTGATTCAGCCGAACCAACCATAAGTGACATCACAAAGCCTAAACAACAGCCTGCTACAACGGCAGAACCCCAGTATGACTTTAGGTGCCATTCCTGGTTTCAAATTAGCATTGCCTCAGTTACAAAGACCACAAATCAATCTTTACTCACACTGTGCTTTTTTACCTACAAATCACCTCGGACATGGGTTCTAAAATTTATCAGTAAGGAACCAGGGACTACAGAATTTGTGAGCCCTCAGAGACATGTCACCAGGCTTGTAGTGTAGAAAAGATAAACTACAGCTAAGAACTGTATTATCCTTGGTGG